CGACGAAGAAATTTTCCATATTTGGACCCCATCTTGCGGCGATATTTGCATTTAAGACATTTTATTTTTTCTTTAATTTAATTTTGTAGTGGACATTATAGTAGTCCACTGTGTGTCAACAAATATAAATTTTCTGTAATATGGCAGATTATATTTCGTAAATTTTCTACAAGTATTTCGTGAAGTTTTTGTTAGTTTCGAGCTAAAATGTCTAATATGGCTTTTAAAAAATTCTGTTATTTTGGAGCTACTGCTCAATTTTATCTTCATATTTTCTAGAAAATAGAGATATAGATAATGACATCTAACTGTTATATTAATGTTCCTTTTTTCACTAATAAACACAAATTATAAATTAGAATACAGTAGAAAAAAGCAAGAATGAAGTCACCCCATAACACAAATAAAGCAAATTCATCATAGCTTGGGTGTATTATATAATAATAAAAAAGGCTTTCAAGGGGTGGAAATGTAATTATCCGAAAACTTTAGGGTTGATTTTATAATTACAGGAAAATTGAAGGAAAAAATGGGTGGTGCAACCAATATTTTACAAAGTGTCAGGTGTATTATATTATATATAATAATAAATGAGCTTGCAAGGGGTGTAAATGTAATTATCCGAAAATGTTAGGGCTGATTTTATAATTACAGGAAAATAGGAGGAAATAATGGGCGGTGCAAGCAACATTTTAAATATTGTCATGTGTATATATAACAATTAGGGATTATTTTGTAGACCCCCTCATTTCCAAATTATATAGAACTGACTACCAAGTGGATTACACTCTAGGTGAAACCCCCCTCATTTCGAAAATATTTTGACATACCCCCCTGGGCTACCCTGAAGTTCCTATAATACCCTTCTAAAATCAGTTTTAACCCTAGCCACTCACGGTCTCTCTCTTCTTCTCCCAGATTCAAAATCCCGCCTCTACAAACCTCTCACCGGCGAAATTGCTTCCCGGAGCCATAACTCTCTCTCCGGTGGTCGGAATTCGATGGTTTAACTACCGTTGGATTCCTCTCGTCGAGCTCTTTCTTTTGGTGGTGATTTCATTCAGTTTCGAGCGCGGATCTGTTTCTGCAATTTTTTTTCATTCGAGGACGGTGGTCTTGCCGGAGCTTTATTTTGTGTTCCACCCGTCGAAATTTGACGGGTCATCCACCGTTGGATTCCTCTCGTCAGGATCTATATTTTGATGGTAATTTCGTTTATTTTTATATTTTCAGATTTATTTCTATATTTTTTTGCATTTCCCAGCAATAACCTCTCTCTCTATCTCTCGATCTCTTAATGTTTGGTGATTTTTGAGTGTTTTGATGTTTTTATTCAAATTTATTGATTTGCACTAAAGTAATTTCTTTTTGTTTTGATTTTGCAATTGCAGCTTAATGAAGACCATTGATCCTTTCCTTGATGGTGTCAAATTTTTGTTTTTTTAAGTTACATCAGATCTGTTCAACAGACTGTATACATTACTATAGTAACATGTAGTTACATGTAGTTACATATGCGTATATTTATGTATTTTCGTTTTGTTTTTTATTGGTTCTGATGTGATTTATAATAAAAATATTTAAATTTGTAAATTTTTGTTGGGGTTTTATGAATTTATTTTGTATAAGTCAATATTCGTGTGTATATACAATTGATCGACTAAAAATATGGGGAAAAAACGAACATAACTATGAATTACTTAGGTACCATAGTTACATGTAGTTATTTTCAGTACTGTAAACATATTGTTTTGAAAATTAAAAAAAAAATTAAAAAAAAAAATTAAAAAAAAAAATTAAAAAAAAAAATATATATATATATATATATATATATATATATATATATATATATATATATATATATATTTAACAAACAGATTTAAAAAAAAAAAAATAATAATAATAATATATAAATCAGCGAAAATGATAAATGCAGGACCATAAATGTTGAATGCAGTTTGGCCGAAAATTGCACATAAGGGTAGTATAGTACTTTCGCTTCCCCAGGGGGTATGTCAAAGGATGATTTGGGCTTGGGTTTATCCCTAGTTTATTTGGTGGCTAGGGGGTTATGTAAAATAACCCCTAACAATTAATAGGGCTTGCATTGGGCGGTAATGTAATTATCCAAAAATGTTATGGCTGCTTTTAAATTAAAGGAAAATTGGAGAAAATAATGGGTGGTGCAACCAATATTTTAAAAATTGACAGGCGTGTAATATGATAATAAAAGGGCTTCCAAGGGGTGATAATGTAGTTATCCAAAAATGATAGGGCTGATTTTATAATTACATGAAAATGGGAGGAAAAAAAAGGGTGCAACAAGCAATATTTAAAAAATTGACAGGTGAATAATATAATAATAAAAATGCTTGCAAGGGTGGTAATGTAATTAGCCAAATTATCCCACCCAATCCTGCCAACCATTCCTGAGTTTGGGCCATTCAGATTTAATCCCACATATCCGTATCCAACCAATCAAACCCGAGATACCATCCATATTTCACTAATCCATACATGTAATTTCAATATAAAACCCCAATCTCATCCCAACCCATCCCTCCAACCAAAAGGGGCCTTACTAATACCATAATTCCGTAAAGGTTTTGGCTTCATTTCATTTTCGGTCAATAAACCCAAAATGAAATTATATGTTGTGGGTAAATCGATTTGAAACTTTAATTCATATGATATAAATATGCTTCCTCTGTTTTTTGTACCCAAAATCCGTGCGCCACAAGTTTGTGTCACAAAACTCGAAACCCCATTTTTTAAATTTGTTATTATTATTATTATATGTGTTGTAGCCGTAATCCCATGAATACAATTAAAAGCACAAAAAAAAGGTTGGAAGAAGAATTGAATTGGATGATCCTGTAAGAAATGGGGAATGAGAGTGTAGAATTGTAGTGGGCTGGACAAGTACAAATCAATGGGTTTATTTATTTAAAGAGCTGCTCAAATTTCAAATACAACTTTAAATCTATTCTTCCGCCCATTCCAAAACCAACCAACATTTTATTTTATTTATCAATTCACCCAATATTTCATCAAATACATCTACAATCTCACTTTAATGTCTTAAAATAAGTTACGGAAGCTATAATTAAAAAAAAAACATATATTCATATTTTTTTTATATTTTAATTAATTTTCTAGCTAATTTATAAACCACACCTAAAGCTGATTGATTTAGTTAATGGGGCTGTAGTTAATTGGGGTCCTATCAGACCGAGGGTGGTGGTCAATTCCAAGTTCTAACTACAACCCTCCACCTACTCTATTTTTATTTTTCCATTTTTTTTTATTTATATTATACTCTATTTTTCCACAATAACTGTCTCTTTTTTAAATTATTTATGTTCCATATTATCTTTTGCTTTACATTTTCAATACTGCATTAATTGTGTAATTATTAATTTTACCCTTATTAACTATCTCCAACACTCTCTCACATTAAGTATTGGCAAGGGCATTTTAGTATAAGAACATATATTTTTCTAAAATTAAGCAACATTTATTGAGATTCTTAATCCTTATGCACAAGCTACAAATGACAATTATATAGAAACGGAGGGAGTAGTATACTATAATGTGGAAAGCATTAATTAATACAAGTACTGGGTAGTGGTAGTATTAACTCACTCCCTTGTAGGCAGATAGATTTTATTACTAGTGTGAGTAATGTCCTACTTGAGTTCAATTCTTTTTTTTTTTCCTTTTATTCTTCCAAAGCATTTATTTATTTATTTATTATTAGTACTATTATATTTCAATTCATGATCGTCCCCATTATCCCTACTGTTACAGGGGTTAATTTATCACCGAAATTTTCCCTTGTACGGCCTGATTTGCCCACCAAACCAGTCAGCCTTCCACACGATTTTCTTCGCACAAACACGCACAAACACAAGTCTTTTCAGCCACGTAAACGAATACAAGAGTATGCAGCGGAAAACAAACACACAAGCACGTTTACGGGCAATGCCCAACCTTTATATTAATTCCCACAACGAATACAAAGGAGACTAAGGTGCACACACAAAATCCTCACTCAGAATTGCCCAACAATTGCAATCTGAACTCTCATATGCTAGATACCTCGGATTTGTGCACTCATAGCCTAATAAATACAAGGAAAAGGTAGTTTTCACACAAAACTACCTAAGGACACATGGCAGCATACAAACATGACACTTGGCCAACTATTACAAGTATAAAGGGGCAGTTTTCATGCATTTTCAGGCCTCAACCGCTCCATAACTTCCTCAAATCCGCCCACAAGGCTGATTTCCGAAGCCCATCTTGATCGGGCCCGCGAACGCGCGCCAAACGGCCCAAACAGCCCGGCCGGTTGCTAGGCAGCCCATCTGCCTTGCCTTTTCCGCACTTTAGCTTCCCTTTACCGATTACTTGCCAGTTCTTTGCCCACACGGTCATCGGCACGCCCGCTCATCGGGCTGCCTTGCTTGCCTTGCCAATTTTGCCCACACTTGTCAAGTCGTGGTCGATTTCCCTCGAACGTTCGTTTGCCCACATTATCGGCCACATGCCGATTATTGCCCACGCTTTGTCCGTCTTTGCTGCCGAGCAACGCCCGTGCCAGCCACAAGTACTATCGATCACCGTTCCCACTTGAACCAAGCCAATCCTTGCTTTTCTCGGCCAAGCACTCCGAATGCTTGCCGATCACTCGACCACTCATTGGCCGAACGCCCGACCACTCATTGGCCGGTTGTGTGGCTGCCTTGTGCCAATCCCCACTTGGCACCATTTATCGGTCATGGCTCGGCCACACTCGAGCCATTACCGATATCACCGATTAAGGGGGTAACACCTACCACCATGCCCCTCATCCATAATTATGACTACACTACTTCTCTCTCTCTCTCTCTATATACATTTATTTAATTAAATTAATCTTTTATTTCTAATTTTATTGTGTTGCCTTGAATGGCATTGACCTACCTTCTCCTTCCTTCTCTCTCTCTCTCTCTCTCTCTCTCTCTCTCTCTCTCTCTCTCTAATTTTATTATTGTGTTTTGTAGCGCTTTGTTTATTGATGATTGCTGGTATCAGTATCACTTACTGAATCTGTGATCATTTATTGCATTTGGCCACCCACTCTAACTCTATTATTTTTTTTTTAATTTTTTTTGCCTTTTCTGATATTTAATATTTCTTTCCCCTCCAATCCATAGATTTATTTTTAAATAATAATAGGAGCAGATTTTTCTGATTTCAGTTAGCTGCCTACTTTTAGTTCTTGTTCAACCATTTTTGTTGATAATCATTAATCATTGCTTCTTTGCTGCAATAATAATATTAATATTAATAATAATATTAATATCTTGCCTGAGAAAATATCATATCATGTGTTTGCCGCCGAATAACAAAAGGCTGTTTCCCATAATCCCCCATTGCTAAATATTAACACAATATTGCCACCAGTTCCTCCTCCTCTTGCCTCCTCCTCCTCCTCCTCCACTTTGCACAGGTTTAATTAATATTTTTCTGATTTATTTAATTATTTATATTTCTGTTTTTTCAATTCTTGAATATCAATTTATATATTTCAATGTAGTTCGACCTCGACCGATCATCATCATCATCATCATCTTGTGCTTAATATGTCTCCGACGACACCTTCCCTCAATCAATTTCCTGTAAGTTATTATATTCCTCTCTCACTTCTTTTTCTTGCATTTTTTTTCTTTCTTTCAATTAATATTTACAGACTTAATTAGCTTGGCTATGTTTCTTTCTAATTACCATTTATTAATGTCTAAATGAATGATTTAATTTAATGTAAATTTCTGAAATTAAAGGAGGTTGTACATGTGAAGAAAACAACGACATTTTCCGATAGCGAATCGAACGCTTGTCTTGTTTCAGATGGCAATACAACATTGTCTAAGGTACTCAATAATCACTTACCATTCATTCTTATCAACCAAATTTCAATTGATCTACTGAAGCAATTATATATCCCGTCTTGAAATTGTTATAATTTTCGACTCTTCGCTTATTGTCGTGTTTTTTTTTTTTTTTATCTTAAAACAGAAAAATCTGTCGAATTTTAGTGATGTAATCAATAATGTTTTGTTTGGGTGCAGCAGTCTTCAGCTGAATTGGTGAATGAAATTGCTACACTCGAGATTCAAATATTGCATCTAGAGCGATACCTTCTATCTCTCTATCGCACCAATTTTCAGCACAATCTCCCTAAATTACAGAATAACCACATCGAACAAATAAACGCGACACCTCAAGAAGCTACATCTGATCAACCATCTCATAAAATGAAACTATTGGGCATGTCAATAAAGGATTCCAAAGATTATCAAGATCGAAGCTCTCCCACGAGTTCTTTAGCTGGCCCAAATGATTCGGTTCAACTCTCGATTCCAAACTCATCATCGTCTTCTAGAAGAAAGGTTTTTTGACATTGCCATTTCTTTTCTAAATTAAAAGGCATAAATAGAAAATGACAAGAAATGTGTAATTAATTAATTGCAGGAAAAACAGAGCCGTAGTCTTGCAGATCATCTTGGAAATTGTTGCATTGACGATGCAAGAATTTGTCCCGATAGACTATCTGGAGACATTATAAGATGTATATGTTCGATATATTGCAAATTGGTCAACCCCGCGTTGACTTTCAAAGGGTGTTCTGTTTCTTCAACTTCGTCGTTTTGCTCATCCAGCACTTTCTCTCCGAGGAATTTATCCGGAAGTTGGAGCCCTCAATGTAACGAAGAGGTTACTGAGATTTATGATATGGAAGGCGTAAAACAAGGAAAAGGACCGTACGCTTCAATGGTTGAAATACTGAAGATATGCTTAGATGATGAAAGTTATAGTTATGCTGCTATGATGCTTCAGAAATTCAGGTTTTCCATATATATAATGTACCCCTTGTATCAGCTTCTCTAATATTATTCAATCTTGTGTTATGCAAAATATAATTTAATATTGTGCAGGTCTCTTGTGAAGTGTCTTGAGATTGTTGACCCGACGAAAATGAGGCGCGAAGAGAAGCTTGCGTTCTGGCTCAATATTCACAATGCTTTAGTGATGCATGTATGTCTTGCAATCCATTTTCGATTTCGACTAATAAAAACTTATAGCCGAATATATATCATATGCTTTAGTTGTTTGCAGGCTTATTTAGCATATGGGACTCAACACTATTTAAAAAGCACTTCTGTTTTGAAGGTAATTTCTTTAATCTTCATTACGAACCTTTATTTATTGATTTATTTAATTATATGGCGATTATTATCTCAGGCTGCTTATAACGTTGGCGGACATCGCGTAAATGCATATGACATACAAAGCTCCATTTTACGAATCAGATCCCACTATTCTGCTCCGGTATTATACCCCTTTCACTAATTGATTAATCGTATTCAATTACGTAAAGTGTAGCAATTGATGCTTATGTCCAAAAATAATGCAGTGGCTTCAGACGCTTCTATCTCCGGGGAAGAAGTACAACAAGAGTGTGAATACTAAACATGCATATGCCATAGAATACCCTGAGCCACTTGTTCATTTTGCACTTTGCTCGGGGGCATACTCAGACCCCGCGGTACGTAATAATTCATTCTTTCTTTTTTACTTTGGATCGTCAAATGTTTTCAATTGTTATAGAATGAATTGAATTGCAGATTCGAGTTTACACGTCAAATAATGTATTTAATGATCTGAGAATTGCAAAGGAAGAGTTTGTACAAGCTACAGTTTATATTCACAAGGAAAAAAGAATATACCTGCCAAAAATATTGAGTTACTACGCCAAGGATATGTCGATGGGCATGGCGGTACTGTTGGAAGTGGTTAGCAGATGCCTATCCGGAATTCAACAGAAATCTGTAATAAAGACTTGTGCGAAAGGTAGACCGGAAAAGTATGTGTCTTGGTTAGAGCAGAGTTCGTCTTTTCGATATTTAATCCATAAGGAAATTGCTGAAACCACATGGGGTTCTTGATCGGATTTATTTATTTATTTTTGTGTGGGTATTTGTAGGTTAGCATTGTTACTTGTAATTATAAGCAAATATACTGAGTGAATAAATTTATTGTGGATAGATAGAATATCATTTCATTTCTTACACCATCTTTATTATTTTCTTGTTCTTGTAGACAAGAAGAAGATCATATAAAAAACTTAACCATTTAATATTATTACCTACATTTTATTTATACACGATAATTACTTACTAGGATTCTCGGTCGCTGAAGCTGAGGGATGTGTCGTGAGAAGGATCCCAATCCAGCGAGGAAGATAAGAGCTTAGACAGTGCCACAAACACATCACTCACATTGGGACGAGCATCTATATTGTGGGCCACGCACCTCCTAGCTAGCTCCCCCAACGAGTACGCCACTTCTAGCGGATACTCGTCCCCTAGCCACGGATCTACAAACTCCTTCAACTTCTCTCTCACACTCTCCCCACTCAACACCCTTTCTATTCTTTCAGACAATAACAACATCTGATGACTACCTTCTTTATTCTTGTCCTTGCCAACATCATCATCATCCACAATTGGCTCCCGCCCCGATAAGAGCTCCAGCATCACCACCCCCAATGCAAACACGTCGAGTTTTGGAGTGATTAGTCCACTCTCTATATACTCGGGGGCCATATAACCGTAGGTTCCCACAACGTGCCTAGTCATCACGTTTTGATCATCGGCTTCCAAAGTTCTCGAGAGGGCGAAATCGGCAATCTTCGCTCTTAAGTTTCCATCTAGAAGAATGTTACTGCTCTTCAAGTTCTTGTGGATGTAAGGCGGATTTGTGAAGTTGTGGAGGTAGTTTAATGCATCCGCCACGTCGTACGCAATCTGAAGTCTCTGCTTCCAGTCGAGGCGCCTCTCGGTTATTGAAATGATATTCATGTGTTTGTCGTTAGAATCTAATTTCTTCTGTAGTAAACTGGAATTGGGGCGTAGCCATTCGGTGAGGGAACCTTTCTCTGCGTACTCGTAGATGAGGTAGGTGATGTCATGGTGGAGGCAGAAACCGGATAGACGGATTATGTGGGAATGGTTTATCTGCCTCAGGGCGTTGATTTCACGAGAAACATCGCCTCCTTTCATTATCTTGATTACAGCATTGTCGCCCTTGAATGAGCCCAGGTATACCGAGGATGATCCGTTGATTCTGTTCGATTCTGAGAATGATGATGTTGCCTTATCCAAATCTTCGAACTTGTATACTGTTAGGGTTTCGATGGCGCTCCGGATGCTTTGGGATGAAACGGACCAGTCGGAAAATGGTGGTCCGGCTGACGTCGGATCTCCAGATTTATCTGCTCGGAGCTTCGGAGGCGGCGGTGGTGACTTGTTGCTTTGGCGGCGGCGGCGGTAGCAGAGGAGATACAGTAAGACTGAGGAGAGCAGGAACAATACGGCAGCTCCGATTCCAACACCGATGAAGATCCACTTGCGGGAGTTGGAACCGCCGTTGTGGTTAGGGGGAAAATTGGAAGGCGGCGGCGGCGGCGGAGCGGGGAGTGTGTTGTTGAATGCTTTAGTGGGCTGAATTTTGAGGGGAACGAGAATTGGAGTGAAGAAGAAGATGAGATCATTGACGGAGAGGCGATTGGCATCGAGGATGCCTTGGACGTCGGCTCCGGAGGCGGAGAAAGCGGCGGCGATAGAATTGTAGTTGTCGCCTTGACGGATGAGGTAGGTGAGAAGGTAATTGAAGCCGGAGGAGGTCTGATTGAGGGTGGGGCAGGCGCAGCGGAGGGGAACGGTGAGCCTGAAGCCCGGGTAGAGGTGGCGGTAATCGTAAGGGTTTTGGGATTCCATGGATTGGCAGGTGGTGAGGGATTGGTAGGTGACGTTGGAGACGGTGAAGTAGGTTTCAGTCTCCGCCGTGCCCTCCTGGTTTTTGAGGATGTAGGAGGCGTTGTGCTGGTAGTAATTCTGAGAGCAGGAACATTTGACGGGGACGATGACGAGGGTGTCGGCGGGGAGGAATTCGACGTCGGAGATGTTGTTGGCGGCGGCGATCTGAGAAGCGTCGGCGGAGAGGAGATATGCGATGGAGATGGGGGTGTTGTAGGTGGGGGTAGATCGGAAAGTGAGGTAAGAGGTGCAGGTGGAGGAGGCGCCGTTGCAGACGAAGCCGAGAGTGGTGGAGTCGTTGGTGTTGCAGGCGAGCTGCTTGTTGTTGACGTAGCTCTGTTGGGCAGTACTTGAATACACCAACATCAACAGCACTAGCAAAAGCAGAAACGCCATGGATTACTACTGAGAGAGCTCTCAGCTGTTTCAAAGATGTATCAAAGATAAATCAAATTATCAATTAATAATAATTATTCTAAAATAGAAAAAAATAGTTGCAGCAAGTGGGGATAGATATAAATTAAAAACGTAATGGTGGACTTCACCATTGACTCCCAACCAATACAACTAACTATGCCTTAATTAACTTTTTTATTTTTTTTCATATTTCCAACCGACCTGTGTTGGTCGAAAACCTACACGCAAGTGCACGTATCGTACAAGTAATATAGTGGACTAAAAGTCCGGATATCGAACCCACAGGGAATATTTAATTATCTAATCCTAGACGCTAAATTCTACCAATTATTATCAAGCCCACCCTACACAGTCGAGTTTTGAGAGAATTTACTAAAATAAATTAAAAAGCAAATTAAAACGACAAAGCAAGAAAGCAAATTAAACACGAAGATTTATCAGAGTAAACGAGCCTAGGATTTTATTCTTCCCCCTATGTGATTATTACTCCCCCAATTCCTTCAATTATGCAAGCAATTAACCCGGATTATTAACCTGAGATGCTAAAATAATCATAACCCGCTTCCGCGTGTATTACGATTCTAATACTCTAGATTCAATTACTATATTCCTATGCAATTAATTCTAGAACACAGCATTAAGCACAAATCTCAATAATGGCTACCTAAGAGATTAACTATATTCCTATGTTAATACCACAAAGGCTCTTCTACCACAGTTCTAATTATTAACCCGATCTTCCGATTCATGCGATTAACAATAACATAAAAGCGCATAAAGTGGCCAGTTTCATGAACTTAATAAAACAAGTAGAAGAAATAATCCGGAATTAAAACTTGCATAAAATCATAGAATTGGGTTCATAAATCCCACATAGGGTTCCAAATAAAATCCTAGAAATAAAGACTTAGCTACTCGTGATTCTTATGATAAAGAAAATAAAATAAATAAATAAGAAAAACTATGCTTGAGTCTTCGTTGATCTTCTATGCTCTTGAATTTGCGTCCAAAGATTGATCCCCAATTGTGTGCTTGGATTGGTCTTATATAGGGTGAAGAACTTGGGGAAGAAGGCAGTTTCCTTGTGCAATTAAAATCCCTTTACTGCGCAACTTCGGGGTATGGGACGGGGGTCCCATAATTTGCACTAAAACTGGGACGGGGGTCCGAGCCTTGTTTCTTCAGAATTTTGATATTTTCACTTTTGACCCATATTTTCGCCAAAATTGCAGTTTTGACCCCATACTTTTCCAATTCTTCAATTTGTACCTAAAATACAATAAATCAACTTTTTAAGCACCAATTATCGTTAAACCACACCAAAAGCTCAAATAAAAAGATACGATAAAGTGTAAAAATATACACTTAACACACCCCCAAACTTGAACTTTTGCTTGTCCTCAAGCAAAATCTACCAATAAGCAAATAACTCAACTATAACAACTCATCACATAGATCAATGATCAACTTCACGTTTTCAGAACTTGTAATTATAATGACAATTCTTAGGCATTCGCAAGCTCAAAATTCAACAACACTTAGTCACTCACCATTACCAAAAACCACAAATCATACAATTGCTTCAAGTATCCAATATTTGCAAGTTAAAAATAGAGAAAATTTATACTTACATGCATATGCTTGACTCCAAATACTCACCAAATTATTCTACTCTACTAATATCGAACATTAAGCTATTGGGATCATTGGGGCTTTGTGACTTTCAATTGTTAGGCTCTTTGGTTCGAGGTAGGAAATATGGGTATATGTGGCTATTCTTCTTGAATTTAGGTGATTACGCCAAAATTTGAAAGATAGGCGCTTGAAACAATGAATTCACCTCAACGGACTCTAATAAACTCGATTCTCAAAAGTTCAAAAGTCTCCACTTTTGCTTTTGAGGCAATGGATCGAGTTTTCAAAAATAATTCAACAACTAGTCCTTATTTCTCCCTTCTAGTCTCTTCTTCTTCTTTTTCTTTTTTTTTTTCTTTTTTTTTTCTTTTTATTTTTATTTTATATATATATATATATATATAGAAGCATAGATATTTGTCTTCTTTTTTTTTTTTTTTTTTTTTTTCCGAAGAAGAAGAAGGACTTTTCGACCGAACTCCAAGGGATAATTTTTTTCAAGAATCTCCACCTATTCTACCTTACACATTGGCTACAAGAAAGAACACCTTTTCTCCGAGGCTCAAATCAAGGTTCTATGGATTTTTCGATAAAAAGGTCGGCTTGAAAGGCTCAAACGGTTCAAAGAAGGCCCAAATCATATCCCAAATCACTCATTACTCAATACTTCGTATCATAACTTTCCTAAAGTGAGTCTTAAAACCGAACATAGCATGATCT